CAATACATCAAGACCTTGGTCTGAGATTTCCCTGTAAATACGTCACCCTCGGTCATGAGCAATAAGTGGTATATATAAATGCATTCATTATTTATATTCGTGAAATATATATATAGTCTCATCTGGTCCAAAACGTTTCTTAGTTTACGTATCTGTAATATTTGTAGTTAACAGAGTTTGTAAATTAATCAACTTTTGAAATTGAAGGCCTTGTATAGGCTCAGTTCAAACGTCGGACTTTTCAGATACCGACGTTTGAATCAGTTGAGTCCGACTTATATAATTTGGGTCGACCCATGAAATAAATTCGAGTGACACACTTGAGAGTTGAGAGTGGTGCGACATTTCGTTTCAAACATCGAACTTTTCATGCGCCAAACCTAATGCATAAATTACTGTGTTCTATTTTGATTGGTAAGCATTACAGTCCTTTGTATATTGTGAAAATGAATTGAGTCCGACTACTTCTAAAAGTCTATGTCTGAGTCAGCCGTCGAACTTATATCATTTGGGTCGATCAAAATAGGTATTAAGTTAGACTGCAAAACAGTTGCGTTTTTTTTGCTCAAAATCAGTTTAGCGTTCAGCCTCGTTTCAGTCGCTTTGTTTGACTGTTCGCGTGCACTTAAATACGCAAAAAATACGGAAATTATTACAGTATAAGTTCGATACATGAAAAGTTCGACGTTTGAACTAAAACTAAGCTATTAAAAGTGATGGTACGAAAGCTGATTGTTTCATTGATCTATTTACTCTTCTCCTTATAATGTATCCATTCTAGGTAACCTTGTTTTTGTCTTACCGTAAGCTATATAAAAATGTGAAATTGTTCTCTACATGGAGTAAATTAAAGTAGTTGTTGTTGTTAATTTTGCTGTTATTCTTGTATTAATTAATTAATTTACTTCTCTTTTTTATTCATGATTTCTTGCGGTCTGGATTTAGCTGTAGAATCACACGCCCTTCGTCAAGAGCGGTACGGAATCTTCTATCCGGATCCCGATTCCTGAATTCTCGCAGCTCAAAAGGAAAAAAAAAAACTTTTCGCAAGCATTATCCATTCTATACAAACATGAATTCAATTCATGTCTATCCTTTCCATCCGGTACAACAGACAACAGGAAACAGGTTAGATGGCTAATTAATGAGTCCCTAAAGGGAGGAGTGGGGGGGGGGGGGGGGGGGTAAAA